ATATATATATATATATATATATATATATATATATATGTAAATTGAGAGTTTATCATAGCTTTACAATGTTTATGGTTCATTTATTTTTTTTATTGAATTTTGGGACCTTGATTCCAAAACCCTGCTGACTTTTTTATATTTGCAACGATATGGTGAAAAATAAGTAATTAACTGCCAGTGCTTTTTTGTTATTGTATGCATTTATTTTTATAATATCATAGACCATGTATTGTTTCAAACTACAAAAATATCATTAAAAAATCAAAAAGGTTAAACTGCTGAAAAACATTTTCAGATTTAAAATGATTTAATTATAAATTATTTAAAAGCTGTCAAGTGCCATAATTATAATTAAGTCAAAAACACAAATCAGATCATAAGCCATACAGATAATGGTATAGTTAACTATATATTTTACAGTGTTTATTATTTCAGTAAACAAATCATCAATGAACTTCAATCAGCACATTCTACAATGGCATCAATAATCAGGTTTTGATTGATGTATCATCCGTAAAAACAGCTGCCAGTAAATAATGTGACTGTCTTGACTATGTACAGTGTCCAGTTGTGGGTGAATTTTTACCAATATTGTTCAGGCGATACAGTCTCAAATGTTCTGTAAAATTGAAGAAGGCCTAAGACGTATATGTGCTGCTTATGACACTGTTTGGAAAAGTTAATATGGGGAACAATATGTAAGGGAGTAAAAATGAACAGGTAGGATTTTGAGAAGTATTTTTGAGAAGCTAGAAGAGGCCAAAATCATCTTTTTGTTCAACTACACTCAGAAATGCAGGGCACGGGGGTCCAGTGGTCAGGAATTCTGCAACTAGCTACAGATTCAGCCTCTCAACCCATTATAACTTACAGTGTGTATGAAAGGAAAAAGGATTGAAAGAAAAGGTAGTCAGATGATAAAAATCACTTATTGCCTTTTTTACAACATCCATTCAACTAGCCTGTGCCATGGACCCAGTGTGTACTCTGTGGGTGCTAAAGATAAATGTTAAAAGAGACAAAAAACACTGATACATAACTAAAAAGCTATGTCAGGTGTACTTCTGTTATGCCAGGGAGCAAAGTTGGAGGCTGCAAAATAGCTATTTGAGGAAGCTATCCACTACCACTTTCATTGTGGCATTTAGAGCTTTTTCAGAAGAAGCCAAAACACAAGTTTCCTTGAAATCAACCCAAGTGTGAAAGAATCCTGTGTAAGCTTTCAGTTTTATTCTAGACGGATGATGAACAGCCGGGTCATCACACTTACTGGCCCCAGTGGAACAATTCAGTGGCTCACCTTTTTCTGCTTCTCTAATGACCATGACAGGTTTGACAGGCAAAAACATTACAAATATTCCTGAGACTAATGAGGGAAAGAGAGACTGAATACAAACTCACTTAAGAGAACTGCCTGTTTTTATCAGACTTTTTACTGCCTTTATAAACTACAATTATTGCCATCTGGATGCACTACGGCAAGTGTTTCATTATGCTGTTTAATAAATATCTTGAAAAGGAGAGCATCATAGTATAAATGATATAGGGTGAGCTCATTGTTTAGAAGATGTGTTGTGTCATTGATTCTCTTAATGTTTATAATCCAAGTGTGATTCTCTTGAAGTGATGGTAAGAAAGATTAAATTAACTGCTTAAATTGTGGTTAAAGCTGTAGTACATCAAGGCTGTATAAAGGTTAGTCAATGACAGTATAGTACACCAGAAATTCTTCTTGTTCAAGCAAGTTGCTTGAACTACATGTCTATTTGATAGACATAAAGGCATTCAACAATGTCTTTTTCTTTAGATATGTTTTGTAAGGCCACATTTAAAATGCATATCAGTGAACTAACATAAAATGCTGTGTCTCTCAGCCACTTACATACACTCACCGGCCACTTTATTAGGTACACCTGTTTAACCGCTCGTTAATGGCAGCAACTCAATGCATTTAGGCATGTACACATGGTCAAGATAATCTGCTGCAGTCAGAATGAGGAACAATGGTGATTTAAGTGACTTCGTGGGATGGTTGTTGGTGCCAGACTGACTGGTCAGAGTATTTCAGAAACTGATCTACTGGGATTTTCATGCACAACCATCTCTAGGGTTTACGGAGAATGGTCTGAAAAAAAGAAAATATCCAGTTAGCGGCAGTTCTGTTGGCGTATCATGTCAACGTCACAGCCTACCTGGGTATTGTTGCTGACCATGTCTATCCCTTTATGACCACAGTGTATCAATCTTCTGATGGCTACTTCCACCAGAATAACGCACCATGACATGTGATGGTGTGAACCATGACAATGAGTTTATTGTACTCAAATGGCCTCCACAGTCACCCTAATCCAGTAAAGCACCTTTAAGATGTGGTGGAACGAGAGATTCGCATAATGGATGTGCAGCCGACAAATCTGCAGCAACTGCGTGATGCTATCATGTCAATATGGACCAAAATCTTTGAAGAATCTTTCCAGTAGCTTGTTGAATCTATGCCACAAAGGATTAAGGCAGTTCTGAAGGTATGGGGGTCCAACCCATTACTAGTAGGGTGTACCTAATAAAGTGTATATAAGTGGTGAGTGTATATAAATACAATTGTCTGGATTTAAAATGGGAGTTTTTCCCTTTCTAAAAGTGAGGATGTTCTGAAGTGTAAATCCCAATCTATAATTTATTCAGATATTGACTTTTTAAAATAAGCTTTTGTTTGGTACAAGATCACTTGGTGAGTTAGTCTTAGACTTGAGGGAAGTGCTTTGACATATAGCAGCGTGTTGAACAACGTGATATCGAGTCCCAGCTTGATCTGAAGGTAGAATGCTCTTATCTAAATAATATGATGCATGCACAATCTAAATGCTAACTGTGATAAAGTATATAGCTGGTGTTCTTACTTTAGACATTATTGATTATTAGTTCCCTCAGCTATGTACACAAATTTTTTGAGACAGAAAAAAAGATGATTGTAGGTATTTGTGGATCATAATGTGATTAATAATCTTGATAAATATTTTAGTGAAATACAAAAATATTATATAGTAAAGTGATCAAAAACATGATCAAGATTATAGGTAAAAATGCATCAGCCTTTCCATTTTTTGGATTATGACCCCTGGGGTGTTTAAAATTTAATATTAGCATCAGTTGCAGCAGATTGATTTTACAGCACCATGGTTAACTTTTACACCTTTATGACACTCACGTACACGTACAAGTGTTATTTTTTATAAATTACATGAATGAAGATGGAGGATCTTCTAAGTGGCGGTCTTTAAATTAAACCAAAAATTGTCTTGTGCAGTGTACAATGTGCCCACCAGTCTCATTAGATGAGGTTAATATTAAATTAAATGAATAAATGACAAAAACATAATAATATGATTGTTAGACTGTTGCTCTTTTTGTATTATCAAAATGCTTGTGTTTATATAGGCCTATTGGTGTGTGTGCACCATTGTGTGCAATGCTTGTATGTTTATAACCACCTCCGAGGATAGTGGGGGTCATGAGTCACTGGAATTGTTATTTTTGGGATCACAGGCTCAAAAGTTAGGGAATCCCTGTTCTAGGTCATTAACCCTTTAGTGTTGGCTAGACCTTTGTAACCTAAAGAATTGACGTTTTACTTTTATTTAACATTTGATAGTACGGAACTTGGTTTTGAAGCTTGCTATGATGATGTAATATGTAAAAAATGTAATATCCACACTTGTAAACTATTTTTATCAATTATAATTATTAATTTCAAAATTCAATTGCAACAATAATTTGAAATAATAATAAATGGCTTAATTATGCAGTAATTTTTTTACCTCTATAGTGGCAACTAGGCAAGAAATGGTAAACGTTTTTAAGGTATACCACGCTTTGGAAAAGTCAAGGTTTTAAAACCTTCCAAATTTTCTGCTATACCGTTCCTAAGGTTTGTGAAAGATTTTTTATTTGCACGTTTTTTTTTTGTTTTTTTGTTTTTTTAGGACAACAGTATCTCCAGCCGAAAAAATATCCAAAGATGCCATTTTAAATTGCAATGAAATCTGTCTTTATGAAATAAATAAAGGCAGAAGAAGTCAATCATTTATTTGAATTACTAAGCCTGAAATGTTGACATTAAAATATTTAAAATGTTTTTCAAAATAAAATATATTGTGTTCAAAGGGGAACAAGTTGTTGTTTTTTACCCAGATGTTTAAAAATAATATATTTGAAAGCAGTAATCACAATACTGTGGAACTGTAATATTTAAATCCAAGGATATCACACCGTCAGAATCTTATAATGGCCCATGCCTAGTGATAACGTTTTTAATTTACAAGAAGACATAAATAAATGTCCATGTTCTTTTACCTGTAGTCTACAGTGATTGTGTAGTGTCTGTACAAACAGAATAAACTGAGCATTACACTAGCTGCTGATGAGTGAAACTCCTCGCTTGTTTACCTCCAGCCTCTGACTGTTCATGCCTTCACTTTCACTCTGTTAGGAGCTTCAGCTTCAGCATTCATCCAGTTTCTAGATGAACAAAACTGTAGCTAAATGTTTTAGGTTCAACACGCAACGTTTGACATCACCATTAAAAACTCTGTTGCTAGTCTTGCTGTATTAGCTTTGTTTGGGTGCAATTCCCCTTTACATGCGTGAAGGAGATTACAGCGTAATCCCTCAGATTTCCCGCAGTTCCTTGAATCTGATAGAAAAAAACTCCGACTGTAAACTCGTCATAGAGCAGGGAGTGCTCTAATTGGCGAGTGACATTTTCGTCGTTGCCGATTGGCTGCATTCACAGAAGTGAACCGGTGTTGTATCAGCCGTACCATTTTTCTTAAAAGGGGTGGTTGTGAGACTTTATTATAGATTGTGAGTAAATCAATGCTGTTTTTCTTAAAAAGCACTGTTTGCATCTACGCATATTTGATTTCGGATTAAATACAATATAATGTTAAGTGTACTGTAATGCTTTTGACCTATGGTCCCTTCATTTCCACTTTAACAGCACCCACTCTTTAGGATTCGAGGTCTCGTCCAAAAATGGCTGTGGAGAAACAATTATGAAGATGTGTCGATCCACTCATCTAATTAATGAGGCGCATGCTGCAAATTAACCAAGGGTCCTCTGATCGAGCCGGAGGATATTTCTGGAAGGTGAGGCATAAGATGTTCCGTTATTTCGGTTATTTCGTGCAAAAAAGAGGAACCCAATAGGCTCACCGTGCAGTCGTGTTACGAATTTGTTGTCAACCAATAGGAATCACAGAGCGATCACAGGCCAGGGCCTTCGAGGATGTGTTTATGCAGAATAAAACACATCACCGAGCTTTAAACTAAATAAAAACAAAGCTTTAACTCAGAAACTGCAACCATAAGTTCGTGATAACATAGCAAAGTTCGCATTCCCACGGAACGATTTATATCTGTATGCATTCAGCTCTCGTTCAACAGCGGTTTTAAAAGTAATATAAAGCATTAACAATAAAGTAATAACATCAATCCACCCAATTATAAATGCAGTGGATTTGCATATCTAAATGCAGAGACGCTGCAAATGCCTTGTAAATACAGAGACGTTGCGTAGCGAGATGTTTCCTTCGTATATTAGTAATAACATCATATACAAATGTGTAAATCATATTACTGCCTCTGTGTTAAATGCTTACTCAAGACGAAACTAGTACTGTACATTTCAATGCTGGCTTTGGGATAACGTTAGTTCTCACATTCATTGTTATCAACAGGTGCTTTGAGTGTTCAAAGACTTGTGTCATTATACTGTAACAACTTCCCATAATCATGTTCGTAATGACTGAATGGAAGTATTAGGAAGACCTTTTCCACTATTACTTATTCCACTATACTTACTTGTGTAAGCATAATGTTAAAACTTGTGTGATGATGATGATGTGACATACTGCATGCTGGTGTTTTGTTTATATTAGGAGTTACTCTCACGTTTTGCTTAGGAGGTCTTAATGTTTGTTTTGCTGTGTATGTTACTTGGGTTATGCATTGATGATTCAAATAAGAGATTCACTTTGTTAATGTAATGTTGTCTAAATTCAGCTATTGTATTCCATCCTGTTAAAAAAATGTTAATACTTTATACTCATATTTTGGATTACATTGTGTTGTCTGAAATAGGGCTGCACAATATATCGCTTATGCATCGATATCGCAATGTATGCATGAGTAATAGTCACATCGTAAGACATGCAATGTTAAGTTAGGTTTATAGTTGACCAGAAACCACAGGTCAAAACACAGAAGATTTGTTGAAATACTGCAGAATTGAACCATGATAGTAAAAGTGTATCATCATAACCTGCATGTGTTTTAAGGCATGTGACTATGAGAGCATTTTAGTAGAGTTTAAACCATTTTAGTTGAGCATAAAGAAGTCTAATGCATGCAGTAGGGATGTCCTGATTAAGTTTTTTAGCCCGAGTCTGTTGTCCGAGTCATTTGATTTTGATCTACTGATACCGAAACCAGATCCAATACTTTTAAAATACATAAAGAAGGAATAAAGAAGAGCGAAGAAACAGATCCAGTATGTTTCTTAATTTCTATTTAATTCACCTTGTTTTAACATTCAGCAACCTGTTATCAAATGGAGCACTTCTGTGAGGTAGCTTGAACAATCATATAATAAATAACATCAATTCTTCACTTTTTGATTTTAGTGCAGCAGTAAATATAAAAGAATCTCATATAAAAACAAATTTGCACCTCAACTTAAAATAGCCGGCAGGCAATCTCAAGTTTACATATCTCACAGTTTGCTATGGCAATCTTGTCGTCATCAACTTTACAATGCCTCCCGACCACAGACATACTCGCACTTTCCACTTTAAGCTGTTCTACTTTCCTGGCATTTAACCAATAGTGTCTCTGCATCAAAGTGATGTCATGCCACACATGTTGCGATTTCTGTGTGAAGTCAAGAAAGAGGATAGATATATATTAAGGATATCGTCTGATATCGGGTCTGAAACCGCATGATTGGGCATGATTTCCAATCACATGATCAGATCTGGAGATCTCTACTATGCAGTGTTCTTTACATTTGATTATTCAGTTTCTGTACCTGAATACTGTTAGACCTTCTCCAGAAAACCATAAAACACAGTTTATTTACTTTAATATTTGGTCCATTGTGTTTATTTATGACTGTAGTTTGGTTATTATTATATTTATATATTAAAAAGATATGTACATTTCTCTCCCCTTCAATATCATCCCAATCAATCTAAAGTAATGGCTTTGTAAATAGAGCTTCTTAAGTAATCTGGTGAATTTGTATTTATGTCACCATATATTTTGCAGAGGAATAAAATATTGCAATGTAAAATTTTGACAATATCGTGCAGCCCTAGCCTTAAATGAACTGAAAACGAGAAGCGTTTCACACCACATGCTCAGGCAACATGCAAAGCAACAGTAAAGCAGGAAGTTTTCACACCAACAGTGTATGTGCAAGAAAATGTTGTTAGTTTCTGTTACTCTAGGCAACTTGACATATGCCTAATATTTTTCTTCAAACAATATGTGAGGATTGTGCTCCAGTGCATTGTTTTGTTTTGTAAAAGGCTGCATAGCAATATACTGTTGATATTAAATATAAATTATATAACTTTTTTTAGAGCATTTGCCTTAACTTTAAGGGTTCTAATTTGTTAAACAAACTTTAAGTGTTTAACTAAATCTCACACCTACATTTATTTATAATCACTAACACTCTAAGACAGGCTGTGTGATATTGTAATCTATAAAAAATAAGAAATATTCTTTTTACAGCCTGTAATTTTCTTTTGGAAAATGAAGCAGGCCTAGTTCATCTAGCAAATATCATAGGTAAATTTACCTGTCTGTAGTTGTTTATTTACATATACATGCCTGACCAATGACTTTTTGAACAAGTAAAAAGTTCTGTGTTGTTTTACAAATGCTATAATAATATTTTTTGAATAAGTTTTGAAGTATACTGGAAACTTGCCCCAAGTTTAACATCATTTAGCATCATCGTATTTATTATGGCAGGGCTTCCTGAATGAGTAGTAGTGTCGGGAAGATTTTATTCAGCAATTTGTAAAATTCAAAAGTGGTTGCGATTTTTGGAGGTGAGGATTGTCAGGGGTTTTGACTGAAATGGCAACAGCTTTATTGTAGGATTCTGTCAGACATATTGGAAATAAGAGTGACAGCCAGGTTGGATTTTGAGCTAGCCCATTTTTGAGTGATTATATCACTTTGCTTCAACTAAACGTGTCTGACTGTCAAACGTGATGTGTCAAAGAAAGTACAGAAAGGTTTCTGAAAGATATATTGACACAAACAGAGAAAGTTTGTTGTGTTTATCATAAAAAGTTCTATGACTTTATTTTTTTCGCCTTTGCTGAAAAAGATTGAGCAGGAACATCTAAAAATTTATCATTTTTGTCTTCAGTGATAGAGAGTAAAGCATTTTGACAGAATTGTGTGGTTTATTTTTGTTAAGCTGTTCTCTTTAGGGCTTTTTGCCAAACACTTATAAGGTTTCAAGTGTAAGAATCACATTTAAATACAGAAGTGAATAAATGATATTGATATTAATAATAATAATAATAATAGTGTACAAGATTATCATTCTGTGACGGAACACAACTTGCACCCGAAAAGACACCATCATATTTCAGAAAATGTTCTGGCATTTTCCTTATTTTCTATTATTGATCAAAATAATAAATTACAGCAACCAAACACTTAGTTTTGTTCTGTGATTTTTAACTAAACCACTGGCGCATGCTTTGCAGTGTGTGCGCTCTTGAAGGGTTGCCATGTTCGCTTATTATAAGTGATGCTTATTAAGCGGTTTTGCACTCAAGCCCAGTTTATGGAGTTAATAAAGACATTGACATTGGATGACTGAACAGAACTGTGACTGAACTTTGTGTCTACATGATTTAAAGCCACAGTTTGTCACTTTTGCCACAAGTGAGCACATGTTTATAACAAACAAAGGCTTAGTTTGGTGATGCTCTACCAGAGTGTGGATTCATGGGTGTTGTCATCTTCATCACATCCCATTTGGCTCCTGCAGAAATCATGTTCATGTAAGAGATAAAGTATTTAAAACTTTTTATCAGGGTTGTATGAAGCAGAGTAAGGCTAAAAAGTATCAAAGCCAAACCAGACGTCTGAAGTAACTGTTGATGAAAGACAAGAGCAACGTGACACAAAAGCAGCGGAGCTTTAATTATTCCACAGTTGACAGCTTATGGTTCTTCCAGTCATTGTCATGTGGGGAAGAAGCAGAGCTGTTTTATCATGCTAAATACAAGTTAAGCCTCAATTATAATGCTACTCGCGGGTGGCACAGTGGCTCAATGGTTAGCACTGTGACATCACACCAAGATGGTTGCTGATTTGACTTCCTGGAGTTTGCATGTTCTTTCTGTGTATGTGTGTGTGTTTTTTTTTTTTTTCTCTCTGGAGATCCGCTTTTCTCCACAGTTCAAAGACATTTGGTATAGATTAAATGTGTAAATAAAATTGTCTGTCTGTGTGTGTGTCTGTGTGTGTGTCTGTGTGTGTGTGTGTGTGTGTGTGTGTGTGTGTGTGTGTGTGTGTGTGTGTGTGTGTGTGTGTGTAAATGAGAGAGAGTACGGGTGTTTCCCATTGCTGGGTTGTGTCTGGATGGGCATCCGCCATGTAAAACATATGCCAGAGTAATTGGCCGTTCGTTCCGCTGCGGCAACTCCTGAAGGATCAGGGTGAGTGGGCGAGTATAATTCTAGTAATAAAAAAATGAACTGCGATTCAAATGAACCTGCAGTTAATGTGGCTTTTTAATATAATAGCAACAGAATTAAACGATGTAACCAAAAATTTTGAATAACTACTATATACTATATATATATATATATATATATATATATATATATATATATATATATATATATATGTAATATACGTCTGTTAAATTCCTCAGTGTTTAAGAAGGGGTTAAGTTCAATGCAGAAGTTGAGAAAATCCTTTTCTACTCAAGTAACATTTTTTTCCTCATCAAAATATTTGACTTTAAACTTAAAACTTCTGGAGTGAAATTTAGGGGATCGCTCCGAATCATGTGATGGTTATGGTGTAGCTGTTGGCAGTCGAAATTCATT